AGGGGTGGGCGGAGGGGGGTGAGGGTGGGGGGTGGAGGTAGGGAAAGGACTTTGGTTTTTGTCCGATTTGTTTTTTTTTATCCGATTTTTATGTTTATTTATTTATTTATTTATTTATTTATTTACTTCTTCTGTCTTGTCTTTCTTCGCTTTTTTTCGTCTTCGTCTTCGTCATTCTCTTTTTTTTTCTCCTCCTCCTCTTTATTTGTCGTATTCATATTCTCTTCCATCTTCTCGTATTCCTACTCCTCTTCCTCCTCCTCCTCGTCCTATTTCCTCTTCCCCTTCTTCTTTTCTTCTTCTTCTTCTTTTTCTTCTTCTTCTTCTTCTTCTTCTTCTCCTCCTTCATACTCCTTCTCTCTTCCTCGTGTTCGGTCTCTTTCCCTATATCTTTCTCTAATCGTCAATTTTCCCTCATTTCTCTCTCGTCTTTTCTTCGTATTCGTTACAACCCATATCCCTCTATTCCATTTAACAATTAGCATTTCCATTTCATAATTTTCTTCGTTTTATCTCGCTGCTTGAAATACCTCAAGAGCACTAACCACTTTTCCTGAAAGTCCGTGGCAAAAAATGAGGTATTTTTTCCGTCTGAAATAACTGGCCTTGCAAAGTCGGGATGCAACATGGGCTTGATAGTTGATCTGAGAAGTGAGATCCGATCCTATTTTTTTTTTCCCTCTGGGGTTTAGGCCTGTATGATCCGCGTCTATTGCGATAGATGTTGAAAAGGTATGGATGAGAATGAATGCCTTCGCTATATACCAGTATCGTCTATTGCTTGACGGAGATGTTAAATGTATCTCTTGCATTGTGACTGTATTTATTTTCATTCATTCCTTTTTATACATCGGATGGTGGTGTTGAACCTGTTGGTTTTGTTTATATTTTGGATTGGATTCTGTGTAGGTTGGAGAGTGAAAGAATGCAAGATGAATACTTTAAAGGGAGGATGACTGGTGAGATGTAGGGATTCAGTTGAGATGAGATGAAATGATTCTCTTGTGATAAGATGAAATGAGTCTGTTTGTTATGAGCCTGGGAAAAGTGGACATGATATACCGTAGTTCATTTCTAACTGTGGTTTCCCGTATTATGACTTCATTTGTTTTTGTTGTTGTTGTTTTTTATTTTAAAAATCTGATTGTAATCATTACATTATTATTGTCGTTAATGTTATTTTTTATTATTATTATCATCATTATTATCATTGCTATCACTGTTGTTGTTATTATTATTGTTATCTACTTTTATTAAGTCTTTATATTTTCCGATCACATTGTTTGAAACCACATTTTCGCAACTCTTAATGTTATGAAACATTGTGTGCATTTTTTTTAAGTGATTATTAGGTAATATGGCTTATTTGCATCATGTATAATGTTAATTGGCGTGTGGTCAGTAGGCAAGCTTGTAGGGTATGCATCGAAGTAAGTCTGAACAGGGCATGCTGGTCTGTTCTGAAATTGCGTACCTTGTTCTGCACTCTGACTTAGCTTTTTAATTAATAAGCAGAGTGGTTGTATTGATATTTTGTTTTACTTTTTTTATATTCTCGGATTTGTATTCTTCTTTTTCTTCTTCTTCTTCTTCTTCTTCTAAAATTATATATCTCTTATTTGAGTCTAATATTTTAATATTACCTTGATATTTAATTTCATATTTACACTGTATTAGTGAATTAATATCATCCATCATGAGCACCTTTCTCGTTACAATTCCCCAACCCTCATCACCATCATCATCATCCTCTGCCTCCTCCTCATTTTCATCCCCCTCCTCGTCCTCCTCCTCCTCCTCCTCATCATCATCATCATCATCATAATCCTCCGTCTGCTCTTCCCCCTCCCTCTCACCCCCTCCCCCTCCTCGTGTTCCCCAGGGCGAGGGCTGCCGCTTCAACCACGGCGTGGCGCGGATCAAGCGGCACGAGCAGCTGGCGCAGTTCGGGCTGGACGCCGCCTGGGACATCGAGGACCTGGTGCGCCTCGGCAAGAAGATCAAGGCGTGTCCCTACTTCGCGGCGCGCTCGCTCGTCGACACGGCGGAAATCGTCTTCTGCCCCTACAACTACCTGGTGGATCCGCTCATCAGGGAGGCGGTGAGTCTTGGTGTGGGATCCGGAGGGCCGGGGTTTTGGCCTCTTTATGGGCCTCGGTAGTTTTTTTTTTTTTTTTTTTTTTTTTTAGGTTTGATGGTAAAGTATAACTAAGGCAAATTTGAAATCTTTATGTATTTGATAAAATATATATATATATATATATATAATATATGTATAAATACACACACACACACAAACACACACAAACACACACACACACACACACACACACACACACACACACACACACACACACACACACACACACACACACACTCAAACACATACAAACACACACACACACACACACACACACACACACACACACACACACACACACACACACACACACACACACACACACACACACACATACACTCAAACACATACAAACACACACACACACACACACACACACACACACACACACACACACACACACACACACACACACACACACACACACACACACACAATAACAGCCCCGCATGGAACTAAACCCCAAGCCACCCCTTCGCTGACCTCCGCCTCCGCCCGACAGATGAGCATCAACCTGACGGAGCAGGTGATCATCCTGGACGAGGCGCACAACATCGAGGACAGCGCCAGGGAAGCGGCGTCGTGCACCCTGACGCAGGACGCCATCCTGGAGGCGAGGGACGACCTGGAGAAGCTCGTGGCCCTCAAAGTCAACGAGGAGGAGTGCTCCAAGCTGGTAGGGCCCGCGGAGAGGGGGGGGGGGTCTTCGGGGATTTTGCGCCGGGAGGGGGGGGGGGGTGAGAGCGATGTGAGAGCGACAGGGGGTGGGGGTGAGAGCGATATGAGAGCGACGTGAGAACGACATATGGGGGGGGGGGTGAGAGCGACAGTGGGTGGGGGGAATGAGAGCGACGTGTTGGGGGGGGGGGGGGATGAGAGCGACATGAGAGCAACAGTGGGGGGGGGGGGGGGAAGAGCGACATGTTGGGGGGGGGTGCGAGGGGGGGACGCGGGATTGTTATGCGGTTATGTTGTGTGTGTGAGAGGAAGAGAGGGGGAGAGGGAAGGGGAAGGAAAGGGGGTGAGAATGAGGAAGAGTAAGAGAATGACGAGGAGGGAGAGGAAGAAAAAAGGGGATGAGAACGAGGAAGAGGGAGGGACAGGAAGAGGGAGAGGGAAAGGGAGATGTAGAAGGAGAGGAAGAGAAAGAGGGAGAGGAAGAGGGAGAGGGAGAGGAAGAGGAAAAAGAGTAAGAAGAAAAGAAGGAGGAGAGGGGAAGGGAGAGGGAAGAAAGGGAAAGGGAAAGGGAGGAGAGGGGAAGACAGAAGGAATGGAAGAAGGAGAGGGAGGAGGAGGGGGAGGGATGGAGTGAAGGGAGAGAGAGGGAGAGGAAGAGGAAGAGAGAGAGAGGGAAGGAGGGAGGGAGAGAGAGAGGGAAGGAGGGAAGGAGAGAGAGAGGGAAGGAGGGAGGGAGGGAGAGAGAGAGAGAGAGAGAAGGAGGGAGAGAGAGAGAGAGAGAAGGAGGGAGAGAGAGGGAAGGGGGGAAGGAGAGAAAGAGGGAAGGAGGGAGGGAGAGAGGGGGGAAGAAGGGAGGGAGGGAGAGAGAGAGGGAAGGAGGGAAGGAAAGAGAGAGGGAAGGAGGGAGGGAGAGAGAGAGAAGGAGGGAGAGAGAGGGAAGGGGGGAAGGAGGGAGAGAGGGAAGGAGGGAGGGAGGGAGAGAGGGAAGGAAGGAGGGAGAGAAAGAGATGGAAGGAGGGAGAGAGAGAGGGAGGGAGAGAGGGAGGGAGGGAGGGAGATAGGGAGGGAGGGAGAGAGGGAAGGAGGGAGGGAGGGAGAGAGGGAAGGAAGGAGGGAGAGAAAGAGATGGAAGGAGGGAGAGAGAGAGGGAGGGAGAGAGGGAGGGAGGGAGGGAGATAGGGAGGGAGGGAGGGAGAGAGGGAGGGAGGGAGATAGGGAGGGAAGGAGGGAGGGAGGGAGAGAGGGAAGGAAGGAGGGAGAGAAAGAGATGGAAGGAGGGAGAGAGAGAGGGAAGGAGGGAGGGAGAGAGAGAGGGAAGGAGGGAGGGAGAGAGAGAGGGAAGGATGGAGGGAGGGAGAAAGGGAAGGAGGGAGGGAGGGAGAAAGGGAGAAAGAGAGAGAGAGAGAGAGAGAGAGAGAGAGAGAGAGAGAGAGAGAGAGAGAGAGAGAGATAGTGTGTGTTTTTTAGACATACATGTGTATATGTATGTCTTACTTAGATATACATGTGTATGTATATTTGTAATAATGTATAAATCTGTCTACATAGATATGGAAATATATAGGTATACGTGCCGTGTGTGTAGTTTTCTCCATTAATATCTCTACTCCATAGGCCAGCATGCTGAGTGCATTAAGTGGCTGGGTGGATCAAAACTCCGACAAGTTGACCGACTACACAGAGTTTGACAGATCCGGAAAGATCTTCACAGGCACACAGATGATAGCCAGCTTAGATATGCTTGGTATTGGGAACGACAAGATTGGTGACCTGAAGGTATATTTGTGTTCGGGATTTTGTGTATTTATTATACTTTTTTTATGGTTATGTATGTTGCTTATGAAGGTATTTTCTGTAACTGTGCTTCTAATTATTTTACTGTAAGAAAGCATGTATGTAATCATCAGACATTAAGCCATATCTTACAAAATAGAAGAATTACCCTGTCTTGTTCTCATATCAGATACATCACCAGAATGCATTATTTTAACTTAATGGCTTTCCTGATTTCCCTTTAGCACTGCTTCAGAGTAGTGACAGACGACCAAGATCCGGACGACTTGAACCCTCGCATCAGCTCTAACACGAACATGCTCCTGAAGAGTCTCTTCCTTATGTACGAGTTTTTGTTCATGGACGACATGAAGTACAGGGACGACTACCGCATTGCCATTGTCAAGGCTCAGACCAGGAAAAGGGGTCCTGTAAGTGGCCATTTTTTTTGTAATTAATTAGGTTTCAGTCTGTAATTAGCAATACTTTTTATTGATCTTAAACTTTTTTTTACTCTTAATTGAAAGACATGTTTGCTCTGACTAATACATTTAAGATCATGCATTTTTGATAGGACAGTAAATACCTCCTTACAGTCATTTCTAAATATCACTTTTCTTTTTTTGCTTTGCTATTATGTCCAGAATGCATCAGGATGGCTAGGCAAGAGAGCCACAATCAGCTGGGCTTTCTCCATCAACTTCTGGTGCCTTAACCCTGGTGTGGCATTCAGTTCAGTCGGTGCCAAGGTCCGCAGCATCATCCTGACCTCCGGCACCCTGTCTCCGATGAGTTCATTTCAGTCTGAATTGGGGGTCCCTTTCAAGATTCAGCTGGAGGCTAATCACGTCATTGACAAAAATCAGGTATTGTGGCGCTCAAATCTGGGTTTTTGAAAGTAAGGTTTTATTGTAGATTACAACAGGTCAGTATGAATGAATTGCTGCTGTTTCATTTTGCAAGCATTTTTTTTCTTTTCTTTACTTTTTTAAGTCAATTTTATTTTGGAGATTGTAATATAGACAATAAATAATACATTATTCTTTGTGATTTATCCTGATTCACTCATAGGTCTATAGTTCTATCATATCAGAATGCAGTCACTTAATTCAGTCAACACTTTGCAGGTATGGGTTGGCACTGTTGGAAAGGGGCCAACTGACCAAATGCTCCAGGCAACATACCGGCACACGGAGACCTGGGGATTCCAAGACGAATTAGGGAAGCTGGTGCTGGACGTGTGTCGCGCTGTACCCCGAGGCGTCTTGTGCTTTTTGCCCTCCTATTCCCTGCTGAACAAACTCCTTGATAGGTAAAGTGTTTTCCTTTTGTTAACCACATTATTTTGCTTGTAAAGAAGATGTAGATTTCAGTTATGCTATACTCTATAATGTATAAATCAATAACTGTATGAGTAATTTGGTTGTCTTATATTTTATCATTAGTAACTACCTTCCCCCTCCCCCTCCTACCCTTTTCAGGAGCATTGCACATTCTTTTTTCTCTCTCTAAACAGATGGCAGATGACAGGGCTCTGGGAGGAACTGAACAAGGTGAAGATCAGCATGTGTGAGCCTCGCAGTGGGGAGGAGTTTGAAGAGACAATGAAACTCTTCTATGACACCATAAGGAGAACTGGGTATCTGTTTGTGCTTGTGTTTCTATAGCGTTTTAATGAGTGTTATATATTATACCAGTGACCCCTATTTATATAGTCTAAATGTATTCCAGTTTTAGGGGAAAGAAAATGGATTTTGTATATTTGATAGCATTCAGGGTCAAGTGGATTTACAAGATATTCATCATAATGTTAACAGAGTCTTCTTTTATCAGGGAAGAGTCCGAGGGTGAAATGAATGGCGCATTTTTCATGGCAGTTTGTCGAGGAAAAGTCAGCGAGGGCCTGGACTTTACTGATGATAATGCACGTGCTGTTATAGCTGTAAGTTATCATAGATATAGGTACTTTGAATGGACTATGATTATTAAACTAATATACTTCATTAACATAATAGGCGAGATTTACACTGCAGTAGTTTTCAGTATAATTTCAACTAATTGTTTTTACTGGAGAGAGAAATTGTACAGGCGGTGGAATTCAAGGGAGGGTATCTGCCTTTAGAATGGCCATAAATGCAAAGTTTTAATACTTGTCTTTTTCATGTATTCTCTCTCTTTAAAAATTTTCCCCTAAACACAAGAAGCCCCCTTCCTCCCCTGAGATAGTTTACCCTGTCAAAGGAGATCTTTTTTTCTTTCTTTCTTTCTTTCTTTCTTTTTCTTTTCTTGTCTTTCTTATTATTCTTTTTTCCTTTTTTCCAAATTATTAATGAGGTGGATGAATTGAAGGAAGTCACCAGAGTTTCTTCATTACTATATATATTTTGTATATAGAAAAAAATATGGTAAGGGAAATAAAAAAAAAACAAAAAACGTCAGTGAGTTAAAACAAAGTATCTGTGTACTCCTAATAGCAGCCACTGAGACCAGTCTCTCTACACTGATCAGAGATTACAACCTAAGCTACTGCAGAAACCTATTACTGTAGATCCATGAATATTTTTCACATTTTGTCTGACTCAAAAGGGATACATGTTTTTATATGTCATGTTTTGAGATAACAGGGTGGAAATTTGATGTTACTACTCCCCAGTCCTTACCACCTTTCTTGTGCAGCCATATATAAGATATCAGAATATTATATAAGTAAGAATGCATTATAAGTAAGAACATATTTTTATGATGAGAGTTTACATGTAGTTGTTAACTAGACTCATTTAGTGATGGTTTATGCATTTATATTCTAATCAATAGTTTTTGTCTCTCATCATATGATTGGAAATACTTTACCCTAATCACCTCGAGTGAATATGTAATCAGAGATTTGTACATGCAAGAAGGTTCAATTTTGATTACTCACTTCTGTTTCATAGGTTGGAATCCCCTTTCCAAACGTGAAGGACATCCAGGTTGATTTGAAGCGACAGTACAACAACACCCACTGTCGCACTCGAGGTCTTCTCTCTGGTGGGGATTGGTATGAAATCCAGGCCTATAGGTAAGGTATTTTCTAAAGTTTAGTATTTAGTTTGGGTATTACAGTTCAGTCTTTGACATAGGTTGGGAACTCAAAAGGTATATCACTTGGATATTGGAATTCTTCTGGGATTTTTCCTGTTCTTCTTATGACAGTTTTCACTTTGAATAAATGATTGTATGATTTTTTTTTTAATTTATCTTGCTGACATTGGTATTCATTAGAGTTTCCATATTGGGCGGTATGTTTTTCTCAGCAACAGTACAGGTTCCTCATATCTTTTTCTTATATCACAGGGCAGTAAATCAGGCTCTTGGTCGGTGCTTGCGTCACCGCTATGACTGGGGCGCCCTGATTCTTGTTGACGAAAGGTACCAGAGAGGCAGTCTGAGCAGCGGAGTCCAGCAGAACAAGTATACGAAGGGCCTCTCCAAGTGGGTGCGCAATAAGATCGTGCACCATCCTTCTTATGCCATGGCACTCTCCAGTCTCAATAATTTTGCAAGAAATATGACTGCCAATCCACCAAAGAAACCAGAAAGGTAGGGTCTCTTTTAGGTGTGTTTTGTTGCTGTTTTTGTTTTTGCTTTTTCTTGCCATTTTGTGTGCTTTTGGATGATTTTAGTGTTTGTTGTAGGAATATTAATATGTTTGTTATGCTTGTTAGCTAATCAGTTGTAGACAAGGTCTGAATGAGAATGAATATCATCATAGTGCAAGGAATGTATTTAATTGGTTTGGATTACATCTTCATCAGAAATACATGTATTTTTGATGAAGATATAACAGAAACCTATCAAATCCATCTTTTGCACTGTGAAGATATTCATTCTCATAGATACCTTTCTACAGTTGTTACAGTGAACAGTTTTCTGAAGTGTGTGATTTAACTTTTGTTTGTTTGTTTACAGCATGAATGAAACTCAAACAGCAAAAGCAGAGGAAAATACAGTAGAGAAGGATGCAGTGTGTGGAAATTCAAGTAAATTTCAGACTGCCAAGACTCTGCTTGACTTAGAAAGCAGTTCATCAACAACAGCAGCAGCTTTGTCCTTACTTGTAGATGGTTTAGGCTCAACCCAAAATACCACAGCTGCTCATGACACTAGTGATAGAAATGAAACGGGCATTATACTACCATCCCAGTTTAGCTCAACAATCGTTGGAGGTTGCAACGAAGTGGATCTTGATGATGACTTCTGCTCCTCACCAGGCAGCTTAGTCATTCCCCCTAGTAGGCTCCTTTTCACCTCAACTCAGGTATCGGACCCAAAGACCTCAAATGCTTCCTCATCAGAGTCCTCCAACAAGGACTGTGCTAGTGCGTTAACCTTGGATACATCACCTAAGGAGACTCCAGCTGGAAAGGCCTCGCAGATGCCACTTTCCCCAGATGATGCTGTCGATAACCCTCCCAAAAGAAGGAAGTCATTCTTCTTGCCAAGTTCAGAAGCAAGTAGCAGCCATACCCAGAAAGATGGAGGACCAAAGGTGGACCATTCCTCGGCAGCAGACCGGGAAGTGTACGAGTTTCAGTATATTGATCCGAAGAGCAAAGTTCACATATCACCCCTAAAGGAGCTGCTGGAGACCGAGATCAGATCAAGGGCAAATTCATCCCCTGTGCAGTCTGACACCAGAGAAGCGGAACCACAGTCGAAGAAGAACCTTGGGCAGGAATTCATCAGTGGAGAGGGCAAGGTGGGGACGTCGTCATCCTCCCACGAGAGAAGTTCTTCTCCGCAGATGTTTGATTCGGATGAAGACCTTTTTGCCGATGCTACACCAAAGAAAAACAAGCAGAATGCCGAAAAAGATGAAAAGTCCAATGTCTCTGGCCTGAATAAGTCCTCAAATGTTCGATTAGCTCCAATTTTTAGCGGTTATTCAAAATATCAGAAGAAAAAGATAACACCACCAAAAGAGAAGGGAGCAAAATCAACAGAAGCGTCTCAGAAATCGGAAGGAAAATCAGTGAAAGCGTCAAAGAGCTGTGAATTGAGAGAGAGAGAGAGAGAGAGAGAGAGAGAGAGAGAGAGAGAGAGAGAGAGAGAGAGAGAGAGAGAGAGAGAGAGAGAGAGAGAGAGAGAGAGAGAGAGAGAGAGAGAGAGAGAGAGAGAGAGAGAGAGAGAGAGAGAGAGAGAGAGAGAGAGAGAGAGAGAGAGAGAGAGAGAGAGAGAGAGAGAGAGAGAGAGAGAGAGAGAGAGAGAGAGAGAGAGAGAGAGAGAGAGAGAGAGAGAGAGAGAGAGAGAGAGAGAGAGAGAGAGAGAGAGAGAGAGAGAGAGAGAGAGAGAGAGAGAGAGAGAGAGAGAGAGAGAGAGAGAGAGAGAGAGAGAGAGAGAGAGAGAGAGAGAGAGAGAGAGAGAGAGAGAGAGAGAGAGAGAGAGAGAGAGAGAGAGAGAGAGAGAGAGAGAGAGAGAGAGAGAGAGAGAGAGAGAGAGAGAGAGAGAGAGAGAGAGAGAGAGAGAGAGAGAGAGAGAGAGAGAGAGAGAGAGAGAGAGAGAGAGAGAGAGAGAGAGAGAGAGAGAGAGAGAGAGAGAGAGAGAGAGAGAGAGAGAGAGAGAGAGAGAGAGAGAGAGAGAGAGAGAGAGAGAGAGAGAGAGAGAGAGAGAGAGAGAGAGAGAGAGAGAGAGAGAGAGAGAGAGAGAGAGAGAGAGAGAGAGAGAGAGAGAGAGAGAGAGAGAGAGAGAGAGAGAGAGAGAGAGAGAGAGAGAGAGAGAGAGAGAGAGAGAGAGAGAGAGAGAGAGAGAGAGAGAGAGAGAGAGAGAGAGAGAGAGAGAGAGAGAGAGAGAGAGAGAGAGAGAGAGAGAGAGAGAGAGAGAGAGAGAGAGAGAGAGAGAGAGAGAGAGAGAGAGAGAGAGAGAGAGAGAGAGAGAGAGAGAGAGAGAGAGAGAGAGAGAGAGAGAGAGAGAGAGAGAGAGAGAGAGAGAGAGAGAGAGAGAGAGAGAGAGAGAGAGAGAGAGAGAGAGAGAGAGAGAGAGAGAGAGAGAGAGAGAGAGAGAGAGAGAGAGAGAGAGAGAGAGAGAGAGAGAGAGAGAGAGAGAGAGAGAGAGAGAGAGAGAGAGAGAGAGAGAGAGAGAGAGAGAGAGAGAGAGAGAGAGAGAGAGAGAGAGAGAGAGAGAGAGAGAGAGAGAGAGAGAGAGAGAGAGAGAGAGAGAGAGAGAGAGAGAGAGAGAGAGAGAGAGAGAGAGAGAGAGAGAGAGAGAGAGAGAGAGAGAGAGAGAGAGAGAGAGAGAGAGAGAGAGAGAGAGAGAGAGAGAGAGAGAGAGAGAGAGAGAGAGAGAGAGAGAGAGAGAGAGAGAGAGAGAGAGAGAGAGAGAGAGAGAGAGAGAGAGAGAGAGAGAGAGAGAGAGAGAGAGAGAGAGAGAGAGAGAGAGAGAGAGAGAGAGAGAGAGAGAGAGAGAGAGAGAGAGAGAGAGAGAGAGAGAGAGAGAGAGAGAGAGAGAGAGAGAGAGAGAGAGAGAGAGAGAGAGAGAGAGAGAGAGAGAGAGAGAGAGAGAGAGAGAGAGAGAGAGAGAGAGAGAGAGAGAGAGAGAGAGAGAGAGAGAGAGAGAGAGAGAGAGAGAGAGAGAGAGAGAGAGAGAGAGAGAGAGAGAGAGAGAGAGAGAGAGAGAGAGAGAGAGAGAGAGAGAGAGAGAGAGAGAGAGAGAGAGAGAGAGAGAGAGAGAGAGAGAGAGAGAGAGAGAGAGAGAGAGAGAGAGAGAGAGAGAGAGAGAGAGAGAGAGAGAGAGAGAGAGAGAGAGAGAGAGAGAGAGAGAGAGAGAGAGAGAGAGAGAGAGAGAGAGAGAGAGAGAGAGAGAGAGAGAGAGAGAGAGAGAGAGAGAGAGAGAGAGAGAGAGAGAGAGAGAGAGAGAGAGAGAGAGAGAGAGAGAGAGAGAGAGAGAGAGAGAGAGAGAGAGAGAGAGAGAGAGAGAGAGAGAGAGAGAGAGAGAGAGAGAGAGAGAGAGAGAGAGAGAGAGAGAGAGAGAGAGAGAGAGAGAGAGAGAGAGAGAGAGAGAGAGACACTGTTGGAAGGAAAAACAGTGGTAAGGCTATAGTTACTACTTTTGCATGCATTACTAACTTTTTTTTATTTGCCTCCTTTCATTGTATTTACGGAATTTATTTTTTTTATATAAGTATACTATCTATTCCAGTTGGATATTTTTGTCTAACATTCATATTATTTGCAGAGTGTTGCAAGGTTTCTAGAAAGAGGCCACTCTTCAGTCAGAACGTCCCAAGCCAAGTTCCCGCAACAGCAGGAACAGAATCAGATTTAGATGATTTTGACCTTAATCAGGTAAGCATTAACTTTGAAGCTAAGAGTAGCTTTTGGATTTGACTTTAATGAAGGATGGCCCAAGCCTCTATGGGTCCTTAGGCAGAGTTTGATTATGGAGCTTGCACCATAAGGATGAACACATTGATGTTTTTCACAGTTAATTTTGCAGTTCACAAGCTAGAAAACAAGTGGATCTTATATAATCATTAAATTTATGCTGTGTCTATTACTGTTTTATATTTGTTTAAAGGGTATTCAAGTATATGTGATATGTGCTGTATGAAAGTTGCTGGTATTGGTTAAGCAGTTATATCCATCTATCTATATAATTCTTTGCAAAATGATAAAGAGATAAATTGAGGAAAAGTATGAATATGTAGAATCAATCTATTTTGAAAGGCTTTACAAATTCTTGTCAGAGAATCTATCCATACAGATGAACTATTAAGGACTGATAAATGATTTTTGTCAGTGTGTATAAATACTATATTGTGATTTATTAATGATAGGTCTACATGGATACATATAGAAACTAAAAAGCGGATGATAGTTCTACACTGACAGATATAGAAGGCCAATATTTTTAGTAAATTATTGATAAGAATATATTGCTAAATTGCTAAGTAAATTGTTAGTAAGAACATGTTACAAAGTAAATTGTTAGTAAAAAAAAAGAGAGAGAGAGAGAGAGAGAGAGAGAGAGAGAGAGAGAAAGAGAGAGAGAGAATGGTAGAAAGAGAGAGAAAGAGAGAGAGACAGACAGACAGACAGACAAACAGACAGACAGACTACATTGCAAGATGTTTCAACTCTAACCATCACACTCACCCTTCCAGAGCTACAACAGCCCAGCAGGAGGGGAGAGGGCAGTTCGTCGCGTTTCAAGAGGCCGGCGTTCCTTAAGCCGCCGTAAGGGTGCGCAGTACTCTGACGTTGAAGATTTGTGATGGGTCAGGATCAGTAGAGGAAATTTGTGTGAAATTTAGAGAACGGAAGATGTCGAGAGGATTATACCGGTATATTTTTGCTACATAGAGATTTTGTATGTAAAAATAAAAGGGGGAAAGCTGTGGTGTATGTGGGATCAGCCATATATGTGGTAGAGTGTCCTGCATGTGAGGAGAAAACAAATATTCAGTGTTCAAAATACTTAGGTTGTTAAGGTTGAATGGGCATAAATTCATATTGTTTGTAATACAAAGTAATTTGCAGTTGAGGGAGATGTGTAGCATATGGTGCTGTATTTCTTTTAATCATTTAGTTTTTTATGGAAAATTTCATCTTTTGAACATACAGTATATGTATTACATATTGCCTCTTCCAGTTATGTATAATTTTAATTGAATTGTTCTACAAGTTATTTGTTGTCTTGAAATTGCTTGTTTAGCTCCCTAGGTTGCTTGGTTGCTGCTCAGTGATTGTAGTGAATGATTCTTCTAATAACTTAATATTCAAGGCTGTTTCAGCTTCATTCTTCATTTTTCCTCTGTTACATTCCTTAAATACTGTCTTTTCACATCAGAATTTTGTTGTATAAGACAAATTTCTTGTTTTTTTTCCCCCCAAGCAGTGCTAAAAGAAATTGGTTACATTATACATCTTATACAGTGTACTCAAGAAAAGAAATAAATAAATTTTTTTATGCTGATCACAGATGAAATATTGCATGAGCTTGTGTGATATAGAAGCATAAAACACAAATGTTCCTTTTGTATACTATAATGATTTCATGGGCAAGGACAGTAGGGAAAGGATAATATGAAATTGTTCTCTAGAATAATACTTGCAAAGAAAGTTAATTTTAGGAAGCCAAAATGTATTTGCTTCTAGATCTGCCAGTGAAAAAGTCTTTCTAAATTCCTTTACTTGTATGGTTGATAATCTCTTCGTCCTTTGCCAGTGAGATCCCTAGTACGATTATCTTCAACTCCCCAGTTTGTTAGTTTATAAATTTTTTGGCAAAAGGTTCACGGTATATATTTTGATATACAGTTTCTTTGTTATATTTAGAATGATTAAGTTAGCTACATTTAGAATAAGTCATCTGCATCCTTTCTATTCATGTGATGGTCATATGATTTCAGCTAAAATATTTGTATCAGTTTTTATAGTTACATATGAGACACCAGGTGTATCGCAGGTTGCATATCATTAATAATAAGCCTTTTAGCTAATGAAACAAAAACCTTCTTGCCTGCGTCTCTTGTAAAAATGTTAGGTTTTTATAAAATTGAGTATATGATTGCCACTGAATGTTTTTGTTGTATGGCATCAATGTACACAACTTTTTTGTGATAAAGATGATACTTTAGAAATAAAGAGGTATTTATTTTCATTCATTCTATATCTGGGTAGTATTGAATTACCATAAATGAATATGTATTTAATTTGCAAGCTTCAAAAGGTTCTTAAAGAAAATGTAATTTTAAATTCACTAAGATTAGATAATCTAATTAAAAATTGTTGTTTTTTATTCTAAGGAAGTCATTTGTAAGAAAATACTGAATTAGCTGATGAAATTTGGTATTTCCCACTGTATAATGAGAAACTGAGGGTGTGTAAGCTGAATAAACTTTGTAACTAAATAATAAAATGTTAATGATAAATCGTCTGGTCCTTTATTCCCATTTTCATTCCATTTGCTTGTGTCTCCTTTGATTATCATTCAATTTGTAATATCTTTTTCTCTAATCTCTGCTGGATTAAAAAAATATATATAATTCTTATTTACAATACTGGTATTTGGGTATTTTGAATCAGTTGCAGTGCTCAGGATCAATGACAGATCCCAGATAATCTGAAATTATACCAAATTCACTGATATACAGATTGCATATATACCC